ATGATCCCAGGGTCCTGGGATCAAGTCCTGCATCGGGCTCCCTGCTCAGCGGGAAGCCTGCTTCTCCCTCTCCCACTCCCCCTGCTTGTGTTCCTGCTCTCACTATCTCTGTCTCTATCAAATAAATAAATAAAATCTTAAAAACAAAATAAAAACAAAATAAAAATAAAAAAGAAACTCATGTCTCCTGCCAATAGCCACACCAACTTGCCAACTGTGTGAGGGGGCCACCTTTAGCCCCAGTGAAGCCTTTACATGAGGTCAGTCTCAGGAGACACCTGAGAAAAGCTCGCAAGAAGACTGAGCCTGAACCACCCAGCCCAGCCGTTCCCTGATTCTGGCCTATGGATGAATACAGTGGAAAATAAGAAATGTATATTGTTTTAAGCCACTAAATTTTGGGGAGTCATTTGTTACACAGCAATACATAACTAAATATAAATGAATAAAAATGAATTTAACAAATATATCTCAGTACGCTTAACAGCAACCTTTTCTTCTGAAATTCTAAGTCAATTTTGAGATGTCAAATTAGACCACATTACCACAAATGGAATATGTTTTCTGGTTCCTTCTTCCTGTTGAAGCTACTATTCTGAGAAGTGCCTATCTCTAAGACACTAATAATTAAACATCTGTCTTCAGCCAATGAGATCTTTGTTGCAGAGAAAACTAGAAACCTTGTTTTCTTTACCAGTAGTAAAAATTCAGGCAAGAGCTGAGGTCACTAGTGAAAGAATACAAAGTAGCAGTTGGGCAGTATCTCTCCACCCCACGCAGCAGGTTTTCCTTTAAATGCTAAATAGACCTGTACCTTAAAAAACAAAAACAAAAAAAAACACATTTAACAAAAGTTCTGCTATTCATATATATTTTAGAATTTTTTTTTTGTTGTTTACTTTCACTAACTTGTTGAGAAAATGCACGCTACTGAATTATTTTTAGTTATATAAACTCCTTGTTAATTGCTAAAGGAAGGGGTTTTTGGAAACACTCATGCTAATATTTGCTTTCCTGAACACCAACTGTCTTTAGCTACATGTTCAAAAGGTTCAAAGAAAGAGCTTTAAATATTGCAGAGAAGGAAGAATAAGAAAAAACTATTTTTCTAAAAAAAAGAACTATTTTTAGAAAAATTCAAATTGATCTAGGTATTCTAACAAAGGTGATAATGAATTATATTTAAGTTCATGTCTAAAATTACAGGATTTAACATGAGTAAATATGAAAATATGGTTCCTTTTTAGCTGCAGGTTTAAAAAAAAAATCCTACCAAGTTAAAAATCATTGTCATTCAGAAAGTAGATTAGTGGTTGTCCAGGGCAGAGGGTGCAAGGGATGGGGAGTAACAGCTAATAGGTTCAGGGTTTTTTTGAATCTAAAATTAGATGATGATGATGGTTGTACAGCTCTGTAAATTTACTAAAAAACCATTGAATTTCATACTAGAAATACAAATTATATCTCAATAAGTCTGTTCTTAAAAATTGTCATTGATGACTGAAAATAAAGTATTTGCAATGTGCAAAAAGTCACCAAAAGAAGCATTCTAGCTCGTGTTGCTTTCCTGCTTCTGACCTGTTAGATGTGCATAACTAAAGCTGAAATCAAATTTTAAGATGCTCCAAAGGTACATTAAAAAACCTCTCTAACAAGAAACACATTTAAGAGGCCTTATTTAAGCATGGAGTTATGCTTCACCTTGTACTCTGACAATGAATTTGATCGACTTTGAACTTGCTTTCAGAACTGAAGAGGTAATAGCTACAGTTGCTTGCAGTTACTATCAAGGCAAATGCACAGTGCAAAACTGAAACTCTTACAAGTGAAAAAGGCATGCTTTTCATAGACATTACTGTAACCACAACAAAGCATGCCAGAGATTTTGCATTTTAATTCTTTCAAAGGGTTACAAAGAAATTGTTTTTCTGTGGGTTACCTTATATATATGGAACAGTTGTGAGCTCTAAAGTATGCAAGTCTATTTTTGTTTGTTTGTTTTAGTTTTTTACTTCTGGCACTGCAACAACCACCAAAAAAATCTTGGTAATTAGCTTTAGTTGACTGTCTGTAATACGAGTTTTTTGAATGGGAAAGGTTTAGTTCTTTTTTTTTTTTTTTTTAAGATTTTATTTATTTAACAGAGAGAGACACAGCGAGAGAGGGAACACAAGCAGAGGGAGTGGGAGAGGGAGAAGCAGGCTTCCCGCTGAGCAGGGAGCCTGATGGGGGGCTCGATCCCAGGACCCTGGGATCATGACCTGAGCCGAAGGCAGATGCTTAACCGACTGAGCCACCCAGGTGCCCCAAAAGGTTTAGTTCTTAAGTAAAAGGCCAAAGATAATTAAAGGTACTGTAACTATATCTGTATCTATACATTTACAAATTAAGTTTATTCAATATATCAGGCCAAATTGTATATTTTATTCAAAAAAATATAAAATGTATAATGAAAATATATTTAAAACAAAATACTTACAGTGAAAAAAGCCAGGAAGAAAAGACTATTACTGTATGATTCCATTTATATCACGTTCTAGAAAAGCAAAACTTTAGGACAGAAACCAGATAAATGCTTCCCAAGAGCTACGGGAGAAGGGGTGCTGACTACAAAGGAGCACTAGGGAACTTTCTGGGCTGATGGAAATGTTCTGTATTTTGATGTGGTTGTCATTACATGACTTTGTGCATTTGTCAACATTCACTGAACTGTAATTAAAAGGGATGAATTTTAACATAAGTAAATTATAATTCAAAATCTGACATAAGTAAATATATTAGAAAAAGTAGATTTAACTACACACTTTGACCATAGCATGTAGTTAGAGTTGACTATATAATGCTGAAAATACACTATGGCATCAAACAAAGATTGAATCTATAGTTACTGGAGGTTTTATTACTTCCCCCAATTTTCTTATCTTCATTGTAGAAAACTTCATGAGAAAAAGGTTTTAAAACCAGTCTGGATAGAAACTCTTTAAGCTGAAATTAGTTCCTACAATGTAGATGATCAAGTGTTTTACAGGGTACTTACTTTCGTCATTCACCTGATTATTAATCATTTACTGCATCCCTCTATAATTCGTCTACTGCTCTTATTATTACAACTACTTGATAAGCTATAGTTCATTAAAGGCCTACTAAATGCCAGCCATTCTCTCACCTCTCTGTCTCTCTCTTCTCTTTCTCTTTTTAAAAAAGAATTCATTTGACTTAGTTCCCTTGATGTAGACATTTCTTTACTGTTTGTTGAGGTAACAGACCATCCACATTATAATATTCTTGGTACATGTATATACAATGTTACACATTTAATAAATAAAATCAGAGAGATTTGAACCTAGATTTTTTCAATTGGAAAAATGTATCTTTTCATGTTTATTTCTATTTTGCCCTATTATGTGAATTGTTTGATGGAAGGGGCAATGCAGTACGTGTCTTCATTTGCGATCTCTACTGTTCTGCCCTCAATGTAATGCACACAGCACATCCTCATAAGTTGTTGCGTGAGGACAAAACTGAGCCATGAATAGTCACCACAGAGTTGTGTGCTATTGTAATACTTAGCCTTACCTCAAAATCTTTTTGGAGATATATTTATATTAAGAGTTATGGGGGGGGCGCCTGGGTGGCTCAGTCGTTAAGCGTCTGCCTTCGGCTCAGGTCATGATCTCAGGGTCCTGGGATCGAGCCCCACATCGGGCTCTGCTCGGCGGAGAGCCTGCTTCTCCCTCTCCCACTCCCCCTGCTTGTGTTCCCTCTCTCACTGTGTCTCTCTCTGTCAAATAAATAAAATCTTAAAAAAAAAAAAAGTTATGGGGAAGGGCTTCTCCCTACATCAATAACTAAACTGATTTACAATTTATCCTTGACAGTCACGGTCATTTTATTTTTAAAAGCGCATTTCCACTTATTACACAGGGCGTGGAGGCAGAATTTCGTTCCATTCCAATGAATTGAAGACACCACTTGCCTGTGGTTGTGATGGCGTTTGTAGATCAGCGTTGGACACACTTTCCAGCATCCTTCTAACGCGCCCGCCTGTTCTGCAGAGGCTCCCGGCTTCCTTGCAGCTGGGTCCCAGAGCGTACTTAGAATCAGCCAATGAGACGCACTTCCGGAAGAACAGAGGCTACTTCCGGTGCCTCTGCGGCAAGGACAGTGGCGGCAAGTGTGGGACTTCGCTGCGACAGCGTTAGTACAGCACCCGCTCTGTCTGGTTTCTAGCTTCAGGGGTGTGGGGCACGGGTTTTGCTGGTTTGGACAGAAATGAGTGTGAAGTGCTTCTGAAGCCCGCAGCCATACCGCTCGGTTTCTGATCGTGGCGTTGATGGCGCAGTTCTGGAACCTGCGACTTCCTGACTAGAGAAGAGGCAGGCGGTGGCTTCCTTGGTGGTCAGTCCTGTGGAGTGGTTTTGTGGATTGTTTTAAAAGCTAGAACTCGAAGGGTTTCTTCAGCCATTTCAAAGATTTAAGTCATTTAATACTCCCTAATAAATCCCTTCCTGCTTAAAGAAGCTTGAGTAGATTTTATTCTCTGCAAATGAACCCTGACCAGTAGAGAAATGAAATGGATGGTAGTCATCTATGGACAAAAATTAAATGGATGATAGCACTCTGCTGTCAATCAATACAATGACCAAAATGACTCCTGAGCCTCGCTAAAAGGAATGAGTTTACATTGTAAGTTTAGATGGAAATTCTTTGTCTATCTCTAATCTAATGAACTCCAAAGAGAAGGCTCCGTATTGCATACACATTGAACATTGCCTGAAATAAGAAAGTATTGATTAGGACCTGTTGGCTTATGATATTTTCCTTTTGATAGCACTATTTCAAACTGATTTTAGGCATGACTAATCAGAAGTGGGAGGGAGGGAAACAAATGAGCGAGTCACGTTTTTGCACGGAAACTTTTCTAAAATATGCTAATTTTTTGAAAATCTACTGATTTTATTTAGTTACGAAGAGTCTTAAGCAAAGCCTGTGAGAAGTCAAAGCCCTCCCAAAAAGGGGGGACCCCCAAGTATTTGAGGGTACTGGATTAAAAGGGGAGCCCTTCATGAAAAGTTTTGCTTGGAGGTCTAAAATTACACACAGGATATGTGTAAAATTTTACTTTGAAACCATATAATCAATTGGTGTTAGACAACTTATTGCAGAGAATTTTGAACTTTTAGAAGAAAAAAAGCCTTAAAATGTAGACTACGACGATGATCATCTATTTTGAAGGATATTTCTCTTGAATGGTAGTTAGAGCCACCATAACAATTTTCGTGATGCTTTAACTTAAAATAGTTAAAAGGAAGTCTTACAGTACCACCTAGGTTTCAAGTTATATCATTATATCATTGTGAATGTGTCAGCAATATAGAACTGCTATTTAAAAAGCGCTGACATGATCCTACAGTATACTAACTGAAATGTGACACACAAAAACCATGAAGAAATTTTTCCCTATGTGTACATATGTATATATAGGGTCAGTCAAACCTATATTAGAAACTCACATCCAGTCTGAGGCTTCATTTTTTTTTAAAAGGATGCCAGAAACTAGAAAGGGAACAGTATAGTACAAAGACTGATTACGGAGCTAGAAAAATAGCACATAAAAATGGTAAGGAAGGGAACTGGTTTTATTTAGCCATAAGAAGGCTAAGTGGTTTTAATGTGTAACTTAGCATTCTTGGCTATAAAAATAAAATATAGACAACTTACAGGTAAAAGTCCTAACCATCCGGACAGTAATGGCATAGAATTAAAGGAATAGGAACCTAAGCTTTGCCACAACAATCACGTAATTGAGAACTGGTTCTACCTTTTGATGCCAAAACAGCTAGCCAGATCAACTGAATCTCCACAGTGTAAAAACACCAGGAAAATGATAGAAGTTCTGTGGTGTCTGAGGATTGCTGGATTAATATTTAAATATTTCATGACAAGAAGAAGTACTCCAACTATTATTTATTCCGGGGAAAACCATTAATGGGGAGGCCAGCATGCTGTACCAGTTGCAGATATTGTCTGTAGAATAACTCATGCACATAGGCATCAAGCTAGCTGGCATTAGCAAGTTCCAGCAAGTTTTACGAATAATTGTAGAGGACATACTTAACATGTACTGACAGATTTGAATCTCCAGTAGTAACACTTATTCTTAAACCTAGGCTCCATGCCAACAGGGAAAAAAACAAACTATTGGCTCTTGCGTCCCTGTCTACTTTCTGCGAGGAACCTGCCTTGTCATAAACTCAGTGTTTTAAAGAATAATCTTGGTCATGAGGCTGGCTTCTAATATAAACCAGGCTAGGGTTAAAGATGGCAAAACAGCAGAAGGCTGTTATCAAATGCCACTAATTACTTCTTTTGAAACATTTTTGAAATATTTTGATAATAAAATGAGGGTCCTCAGTTGTCACCCCTGCAAACCCCCCCCCCCCACAAGAGAAAGCATGACTGATTGCCAGAACAATGCCATAGATCTTGGACCACCCTGATGACCATATATATCAAGAGATGGACCCAGTGGTTCTCTAGAGAATCATGTGGGAAGATGTGGGAGGAATTTGGAAGGGAGCTAGTGAGGAGTAGAAAAGTGGTGTTGCGAGAGAGCTTCCGGATGTTTTCTGCAATCAGATATAGCCTTGATGCTTATATCTGCCTCTTAAAGAAGCTTAGAATTCCAAGTAAAATGCAAAAAAAAAAAAAAGCCAAAAAAAGGTGTGAGAAAATGTTTTCTTAGTTCAAATGAAGAACAGAATGCACAATTATCCAGTGATTTTGAAATAGTTCCAGGATTCTGTTTGGATAAGCAGGCAAAATGAGAGTTTCATATGTTCCCTGTAGTGGAAACCTGTGGCGTTTTTGCTGCTCTCTAGGCCTCACTCTGGGCAAGTACTTCCTTGCCCAGCTCCATGGGATCTCGATAGGACAGCCAATCACATGGCTCTGCCTGACCCACCACAGGCCTCTGCCTGACCCACCACAGGCCTGAGCATCAGAGGAACCCCTTCCCTGGGCACCGTGGTTAGTCCAAGGTGGCTATGGGTCTAAACTGAGCCTTGGAGATTAGTGTGGCTTTTGGAGAATAGAGGCCACCTCTTCTTCTGGGACAACCAGCTAGCAAGTCCATGTAAACCTAAGATGGTGGAAGACCACCTTTCTTGCCACCAGGAGAGAGTCTGCAAGAGAAGGAGTCCAAAGCAGAGCTGGTGCCAAGAGATCAAGAGTGAAAAACAATCCCGTAGCAATGTTTGAGCCTATCCAGCCATGATGAAGACAAGCTGACCTGCTTCTCCCTCTCTCTCTGTCTGCTTGTGATCTCTCTGTCAAATAAATAAAATCTTTAAAAAAAAAAAAAAAAAAAAAGACAAGCTGACCCCTGGACTTTTTCTGTGAAGGGAGCCATAAGCTTCTTTGTTCTTTGGCCTATGTGTACTTATGTTTCTGTCACTTCTACCAAGAGTCCTGACTATTACACTCCTGTACAGATTGGGAAACAAAAGTATGATAATTATTAAAATCTAGAGTGAACAAGATGTGAGAAAACCCATCAAAATGTTCACTACTCCATAAGCAACTGGATATACATGGACACAATGACGCTATCACAATTTTATTTATTTGAACTTAACCACTTTAGAGTTTGTGAGGTTTTATAGTACAGAGGTGAAGGGCATGGGTTTTGAGTCAGACAGCCCACAGTCCCAGTCCCAGCTAACACTTACTGGTTGAGAGGCCTATGTGGCAAGGGAGATGAACCAAACCCCCTGATGTATCAGTTTCCTTATCTGTAAAACAGGAAGAATAATAAGTCCAACCTCATACAACTATCATAAGGATTAAATGAGGTAGTAGATGTAATTTACTGTGTGCAAACTCTATGTAAAGCATACAGTGAGTGGTATTTGGTAAGGATTCAGTAACTTCCTCCTGTTTTCCTCATGTTAGTTCACACCAACATTATAAATGAGACCGGGTTGCAAGGTTCAAGGGAAGGTTCAAGGACTTGGGGGGCAGAAATTTTGTGCATTTCAGAGTATGGAGGTTTCTTCCCCTATGTTAAAAGATACAGTTATAAAGCTGTTCTGAACGTTAGAACTGTTCTTTTAAAATCAATTGGACCTATCAATCCTGTGTATACATAACAATACTACAATGAGGGAGTTTTTATTTATTTATTTTTTAAAAGATTTATTATTTGAGAGAGAGAGAATGAACACAGGCATGGGGGAGGGGCAGAGAGAGAGGGAGAGAGAGAATCTCAAGTAGACTCTCTGCTGAGCACGAAACCCAAGACAGGGCTCAATCTCACAACTCCAATATCACGACCTAAGCCAAAATCAAGGGTTGGATGCTTAATCTTAACTGACTGAGCCACCCAGGTGCCCCAATGAGGGAGTTTTTAAAAAGTTAGGTTATTTGTGTCCTTCTCTGTCTCCCCTCCTTCATCCTCCTCACTCCCACCATCTTCCTGGTTTCCTAATCTCTGGTTCTGACACAACCATCCCACCTCAATCCAGGCAAGATAGCCAGGAGGAATCGATCAACTCTTTCTCCTTTATCCTCATGTCTTGCTCATTTGCCATCTTGCTCAGATCTATTTTTGTACCTTCCTGAGCTTTGCTCTTCCTGCAAAAGACAAGCTACCTTTCTCAGCCTCCCTTGCCAGCCAGCTCCTAGTCAGGCTTGGCCAGTGGGGATAAGGGGACCAGGGGAGGGCATTTCTTCCCTCTTGCTGACTGCATCTCTTTCATGGTCCAGCTCCCTCTAGGCAGCCACAGCTCCGGGGCTCTGGTGGCACGACCTGCCTCTTTGGTCTGTCCAGTCTTAGGGGGAGTAGCCCTGCTCTTCCTAATCTCGGGGTTTCCAACGGTTTCCTATTAACCCTTTCATTTTTCTAACACCTTCAAAAATAGTTCCTCATGTTAAATTTCTTCTATGGAACTCACTGACATGGGTTCTGCTTTCCTGAGTAGACTCTGACTGATGGAGTCCTCTATATCCAATTAGTGACGGTGCCTTGCCAATCTGTGTCTCTGTTTCTCTTCATCCTTTTCTCAATGCCCCTAATTCAGGCCATCATCTCTCATCTGGACCAATCTAATGTCCCCATTTCTAGTCTCTTGATCTTCAATCCAGTTCCCTATAAAGACCTTTTCCACATGCTGCCAAAGCAAACTTTCTAAGACACAATCACCTTACTGTGACCTTGTTACTAACCTTCTTAAAAACCCCTTCAGTGGCTCTTTATCTCATACAAGAGCTCTGAGCTCCCTGGCGTGATAGACAAAGCTTTTCATAACCTGTCTCTTTACCCCTGCCAACTGCATCTCTGACTTCCCAATGTTCTAGTAACACCAAATTGCTTATAACATTGGCCCACACGCATTCACACATATGTATGCACACAACTCCTCACACACAAACATTCTGTTCCACCTCTCTGGTCTTAGATTGTTTCCTTCTTATCTGGCTGACTAGCTCTTCCTTCAAAACTCAGTTCAAAGATGTCTCCTCAAGAAAACTTCTGTGATGATCCAGCCTGGGCTTCCTCTTAGCTTGAGTAGCATCTTGTGAATACTTTTATGAGTGTAGTTACCATATTTTATTAACATACCCTGCTTATGCATCTCTTTTATCCACATGGAGTTCCTCAAGGGCCTCGACCATGCCTTCCTCATTTGCCTGTTTCTGCACTTCCTATCAAGAGATATTGGTTGAACTGAACTGAACCCCCATGTGCCCTGGCAACCCAAATTAGGAACCTGTGAATCATCCTTAATTTCCTTCTCCTTTATTCCTACATCCAGTTGGTGAACTGGTCTTAATTGTACCTCAGAAATTACTCTGATATCTTGATCCTTCTCTCTCATCCCAGAGCCACTGCCTCAATCTTGAAGTCAACGTTTTTAAGCTTTCTTGAACCCTGACCCCATGGTAAGAAATACATTTTGCGGGGCGCCTGGGTGGCTGAGTTGTTAAGTGTCTGCCTTCGGCTCAGGTCATGATCTCAGGGTCCTGGGATTGAGCCCCGCATCGGGCTCCCTGCTCACCTGGAAGCCTGCTTCTCCCTCTTCCACTCCCCCTGCTTGTGTTCCTGCTCTCGCTATCTCTCTCTCTCTGTCAAATAAATAAATAAAATCTTCAGAAAGAAAAGAAATACATTTTGCATTCTGACCCAGGATATGCCTTCTGCAGTTCGCATTTTTAATAAAATCACTTCTAAGATACCATTTGTAACCAAGAGGAAACTTACTCAAGATTTAAACCTAATAATTAACCACTCATTTTTTTCCCTCATTTCTTTTATTTTCCAGGTCATAAACCCTCCATTATGTTGAATAGCCTCAAGCTGTCATGCTTTCTATACAAAGTAATTGGTGCCTATGTTGAAACATAGGCACTTAAACATGCTAAATTTTAAGTAAATCCACTTTGTTCATTTTGAAGGTTATTTAAATCTATTGTAGAAGTGAATTTATTAAAAATTCAAATTACCTAGAAAGTGATGCACGAGTAAATCAAAAAGAAATTTTATGAAACATTGACCTTTATTACATGAGACTCTGATACTTTTTGTATTCAAATCTATTTTTTTCTAAATGCAGGTTGTGACCCACTAAAATCATTTCAAGATCCACTTATGGGTGGTAACCCACAGTTTGAAAACCACTGTTGTAGGCTTTTGTGATCACTTGCTTGTCCTACTGCAATTACATCCAACTTGCCTCCTTGTCTCCAGGCTGGTCTCCATGCAGCTACCTTTCTAAAAGAGATAAGTCTAACCATGTCACTTTCCTTCTAGATAAAATGTGTTCTGGGAGACTGACTCCCCACTACCTATAGAATAAAATCCCTGTTCCTTAGCACGGGCACATCAAGTCCTCCAGGAACAGCACAGCTTCACTTTTCTTTTTCTTTTTTTTTTTTTTTTAAAGATTTTATTTATTTATTTGACAGAGAGACAGAGAGAGAGGGAACACAAGCAGGGGGAGCGGCAGGCAGAGGGAGTGTGAGAGGGAGAAACAGGCTCCCCGCTGAGCAGGGAGCCCGACGCGGGGCTCGATCCCAGGACCCTAGGATCATGACCTGAGCCGAAGGCAGCTGCCTAACCAACTGAGCCACCCAGGCGCCCCCCAGCTTCACTTTTCACCCTAATGTCTACCCACTGCTGTCACATGCTCTGCCACACCACCCAACGTTTACCTTTCCCCTCACAGACACAGTCCTAGCGCCATCCTTCACCACTGCTGTTCCCTCTACTTAACGTGCCCTTCCCCTGCTTATGGGTCTGTTTATCTTACTTTATTCTTCAAGGCCTAAGTGTCAACGTCAATATTTATGTCTCCCTCACCTGCCCCTCCTCTCTAAGAGGCTAGCAGATTAACAGCCTCCTCATCTGTGTTCCCATTTGACAACTTTGGCATTATCATTATCGCTTTCTGTGAGGCTTAAGATGTGCCCATGTCACCTTTCTGATAGGAACCTCTTGAGGACAGAATATTTTGTGCTATTAGAAGAGATGATGACTATAAAGCATTTGGGAAAGAAGGTGGCAGGATCAATAAACAAACTCCTTTTCCTTTTCATTCATCTTTGTGTCTTATCATCACGTGGTCATCAATAAATGTGTACCGACTTCCAGCTCATAACTTAATAGTCTATATTTATAATTATTGTATATTAATAACACCCTATTTTTATGTAGTACTTTATAGTTGCGTCTGACAAAGTATTTCTGCAAATGTAACCCTTGATTCTGACAATCAGTGGGGTATATGGTCGGACAAATGGAATCCTATTTTACCATGGAAGGAAGACCCAGAGAGGCTGTACTATTGACTAAGGCCACACAGCCAAACGTATATCCAGACCCAGCTCAAAGCCACCTGTATCTTGTTCTCTTTTGGGGGAACTACCTGAGGCCACTAAAGCCTTGCAGTCATCCACCTGCCATGGAGCCCCATCCATGTTCGGTGAAGTGCAAAGGCTCTCACTAGCTTTCAGTTTATAGCTTTCTGGCTCCAGTCTGACCCCTCCTGAGTGTCAGTCCCACTCAAATCGGAATAAAATTCCTTTTCTGAAGATGGCTTCCCCCCAAAAAGGATTTTGGGAGATAGATTTCTCTCTTAAAACCAACAAAAAACCAGACCAACAGAGAAACAGTAATATCTGAGGCAGCTTGTCCACTAACAATGGAGTTTCAGTCAAAAATCAGGCCTAGGTTTTGTAGGTGTTTAAAAAAAAAATTTAGGGATGTGGCAGGATTCTAGGAGCTTACTGTAAATATCTTTCTCTTTCACTCACTTGGGGGAGATAAAGGGTGACAAGGATGACAGACACAAAGCATCAAATGATAACTCCTAAGTTTCCTTATTTTTTTTTTTTTTCAGTAGGCTCCACACTCAACTTGGGGTTTGAATTCACGACCCTGAGATCAAGAGTCGCGTGCTCTACCAGCTGAGCCAGCTGGGGGCCCTAAGCTTCATTTTAACAACTGGAAGGAAAGACAATCCAGATGTACCCAATGTCTATTATGTCCTGGTGACTCAATATACATATTTTATCTAACCCTCACATCCCCGATCAACTGTACAAGTACTTCCTTCCAGAGTATTTTCTACTCTGCCTCACACTGTACCACGCATGAAGGAGATAAAGGTGGACAGGGCAGATCCCGCCCCTTTCCCTGCGGCACTGCCAACCTCATGTAGCCGTTCTCAACCTTTCTTCCGTCCTGACACACTTGGGGGACACAGCATAACATCATCCATGCCAGGGACTCATTGTGTTGGGATTTTCAGCTCAGAACACACTCATGGCAGATTTTGAGTGGGGAGGGGTGGAAGGGGTTTTGGAGAGCTGGTTGACAAAGCACCCTGAATGATTCTGATGTATCCCCCTTCCACATGAATAAGGACACAGATTCAGCCAAGTTTAAAGGCACTTAGGATACAGTGTATGGGTGCTGTGATGGGAAAGCAGTTCACTGAGCAAGCTTGGGAGCACCTACAGTGGAGCTGAGTGGAGCTGAGTGGAGGTCAAAGAGCCTTCTGGAGGAAGTAACATACAGTGAGAACTAAAGAGTAGTAGGAGCTGTTACAGAAGGGAAGGGAATGGGATGACATGGTATGGCAGTACCCTAGGAGTAGCTTACGCTAAAGTTCAGAAAAACAATGAAAGGATTTGGTGCCATTAGAAGAATTAAAAGAATTTAAGAATGGCTGAAGGATGGAGTGCAAGCAAGAGGAATAGCTCAAGACCTAGGTCTGGACCTAGTCTTGAGGGGCTTTGTAACCCATGCCCTGCTTCATTCTGAGGGCAGCAGAAGCCACCAAAGGGGATTGATGAAGGGGATATGGCTGCACAGTGAAGAAGGTTTTAGGGGCTGGTAGACAGAAGGCAGCTAACAGCTTGACCACGGTAGGAGCTGGCCATTAATTGGATGTATTGGTTAAGGGAAAGAGGAATTAGCTAGGTTTTGACTTCAACACCTGGGTGGGGATAGACCTTTTCTCGGAAGTGGCTGGGAGATAGATAATGACCAGTTCAGTTTGGAACATTTAAGTTTGAGGTATCCAAGTGGGGACTTCTATATATAGTCAAATACACAGATCTGGAGCTCAGAAAAAAGACCTGGGCAGGAGAAGGAGGACTCCAAAAGGTAGCCAGGCCCATGGCCAGGATAAATCATCTATGGAGAGTGTGTTGAGTGAGAAGAGACGGCCGAGGCAGGGATTTTGATCTTTTAATAGCAGCATTTAAAGAACTAGAGGAGGAAGTAGAGGTAGCAGAGGAGAATGTGAGGAGCAAAGCTGTCTAGCAGCAGATGCGTAGCAGGTTACCTTCTATTTCACAGATGAGGAAACTGGGTCTCACATTTCACAGCTCGTCTAAAGCCTTCCAGCTGGGATGGGGCAGAATTGAGCTTCAACCTCTATCAGGTGTTTGGCTTTCAAATCACTTGTTTCTATTAGAAGCATACCTTGTTTTATTACACTTTGCTTTATTGAACTTGGCAGATATTACTTTTTTTTAACAAATTGGAGGTTTGTGGCAACCCTGCATCGAGCAAGTCTATTGGCACCGTTTTTCCAACAGCATATACTCACTTCAGGTCTGTGTATCGCATTTTGTGTAATTCTTGCAATATTTCAAACTTTTTAACGATTATATTTGTTATGGTTATCTGTGATCACTGATTACGACTTGCTGAAAGCTCAGATGGTTAGCATTTTTAGCAATAAAGTATTTTATTTATTTCATGCTTCAGTAATCACTACACCCAATGTGGGGCTCGAACTCACAACCCTGAGATCGAGAGTTGTGTGCTCCTCCCACTGAGCCAGCCAGGTGCCCCAGCAATAAAGTATTTTAAAATTAAGGTTTTAAACGTAAAAACACTGTTTTTTAGACATATGCTATTGCACACTTAATAGACTACAGTATAGTGCAAACATAACTTGTATGTACACTGGGAAACCAAAAAATTCCTCTGACCCGCTTTATTATGACATTTGCTTTACTGCAGTGCTCTAGAACTGAATCTGCAGTATCTCCCAGGTGTACCCGGGTACACAGTTGTGGTTGTATGAACAGGTACAAACTCATCCCTCTGAACCTTTCCTCATTTGGATTTCCCTTCCCAGACACCAATCACAATCTTCCAAAAACACAGGCAGTTTCCCTTCCCTGGCTCTCTGTTGCCTAAATGCTAGTGAAGAGAGAGAAGGCAACCAATGGGGAAAACAAAGACTCATCTGACCTTGAATTAGGCTATCTGCTAATTCTGAACATGGCCTCCATCCTAATTTACATGGCAATCTCACTCAGTTCTTTAGGTTCCCTATACGCTTAATGGGGAGAAAAGGATTTCACATTATCCAATGGTCTGAGCTAAGAATGAGGTGCTATATAAAGTTAATCATTAAACAGCTTATAAGATACTGTTGCAAACAGTGCAATGAGAAAATTAGCTTAGGTAACTTCGGTTTTCCCAACAGTCTCTTTTACATAAAGGGACTAAACCTGCTAACCCTGCCACTTGACACCCACCACGTTTAACCAAGACTAGGTCTGGGGTTTTTTTGTTGTTGGTTTTTTTTTTTTTTAGTAATCTTTACCCCCCAACATGGGGCTAGAACTCACGACGCTGAGATCAAGAGTCGCAGGCTATACTGACTAAGCCAGCCAGATGCCCCATGACCAGGACTACGTTTATTGTAGTTCACAGGATACCAGGGATGAATAAAGGCCCTTGCCGTCTTGGTGTGAGGAGAGGTGAGCCTGGAAGTTCCCCAGACCACAGTCGTCTCCCCTCCCGCATACAGTTGGCATAGAGAGGTTAACTGTGGGCTTTGGAGTCAGACTGCCCGTGTGCTCCCATCCCCCTAGCTAGTGGAGCCCAGATTCTTGGAATCACTTTCCTTAATCTGTAAAACGGGGTAATAGTACTCACCTCATCCAATTCCTGCGCGATAAAGTCTGACAAAGCACCCAGCAAGCTGCACGGCACAGAACAGTCAATAATCATTAGCTATCGTCACCACCTGTTCTGTGTTAAGCTTTGCCCAGGGGTGGAGTGGGGCAGGAACCTGGAACTGGTTACTAAGGTTACCTTGTAATGACCCTGAACTGGGGAGTGAAGGAGCCCCAGAGCAGGTGAGGCTAGTGTCAGACTCAACATTCCAAGGGGCAAACACGCACCGGTTCACAATACTTTCCTGCTTCATGCCCGTCAAGAGATTTCTAAAGAGCAGCGACAAGGCCCCAGAACACGGGCCCCCGGCAGAGAAGAGGTTTCTTGTGATCGTGTGCTGCGATTCTGAGAAATAAGATCCCTGACAAGGTGTGGAGAACTCGTCCATTTCTACACACTGTTGGGCTTTCTCCCCATTCACCACCTGCTCTCCTGGGGCTGACGCGAGCGCGCGCTCAACTAATAGACAGCAGCTGAGCACTCCGTGCCGGCCCCCACCCCCTCCTGGAATTTAGGAAATCCATCTAAGCGCCGGGCTATCTTTGAAAGGAATTAGCTGTGGCTTCTAAGGAGCTCGCCGGGGAGGGCTACGTGTAGCCGCTCAGGCCAGCCAGGCGAGGAGTCCCCAAACGCCGCCACCCCTTCCCCCCGCCGCCTTTGAGTGAACCCCGCAGCGCCGCACAGCGGGACATCCAGCGCCCCAGCCGGTGGCCAGCGAAACCTTTCCAAGAAATAAAGGGGGAAATTTGGGAGAGGAAGAAAGCCAGCCCTGCAGATGCAACGGCTGCAATTTGGGTCTCTTCTCCCTTCTGACGTAATGCCAGCTTCCTGCTTTCGCATTGCAGTGTGCAGTTTGCTGGCTGGGAAGTCTTTAGATCAATCGACTGAAAGCCAAGATAATCACTGCCACTATCTTGCAGTTTATTTTCCGCGAATACACTAGAACTGGTCCAATAACCCCGCCCCCAAATTCCACGACTTTTGGCTTTTCAGGCCGTATTGTTCTCCCCTCCCCCCAGGAAGGCCGCCTCTACCGAGCACAGCCCAGCAACCAGGAAACGGCGCCCGTTTGTGGCTCAAATGTGGGGCCGGGGCGGGGTCGGTTCAAACGCTCTGCCCCCTTCTCACCCCCCAGCTTTTGTGAGATTCCACATGCCTGGCTTTGTTTTAAGTAAAACTGTTGCTGAAACTGCAGCATTTCCTCCCCCTCTCCAGAAACCGAGGCTGGGAAGTGGGTAAAAACCACCGTGGAACGTGCTCGGACTCTCTTCCACGTCCCACACCCCCACTGGGTTGGGACCAGCAGCGACCGCTCCGCCACCTCACGCGCGCCGGGGTAAATGCACCTCCACAGCCTCCGCCGCCGACACCGCCCAGCCGGGCCCGAGGAGACTCCCAAGGGCTCTTTAAATACGATCTATAAATACTACGGGCTCTGGGCGCGCGCGTCAGGGCAGACTCGGCTTTCTATTGGCTGTCGTAATCTTGCTTATTTGCATAGCCGGATTGCTCAACCGGGCGGCGACCTCTGCCTAGCGCGCCCCTCCTCCTCAGCCAGCGCGCGCGGCCGCGCGGGCGGGCGGGGACGGCGGAGTGGCGGTCGCGCGGCCCGGCGACCGGCGCGGAACAGCGGCGGCGTCCAGAGTCGTTAGAACTGGGGAACCTTTTAGGTCTTGAGTCGTGCAGCAGCCCTGCGGGATGCCGATTGTTTCCCGGAAGGATCAGTTTTGGGAAGCCGAAAGTCGGCCCTTTTAGACTGGATTTTTTTGCTCTCTCCAGAAAGAAAAGGCACGAAGTTTTAAGGGTTTTAACCCGAGCAAACGCTCGGGGTGGCTCGCAGAAGCACCACGTGGGAGTTGGACACGCATCTAGAGTCCTGTCCAATGACTTGCGACTTGGGGTGTTCAAAAGTGGCTTTTGCATGATCCCTAGTAAGACCTCAGTAGCTTGAAAACGAAACAAGGAGGGTTCAGAAAATGCAAGATGTAGGATTCCTCCTAGTTTAAATCTAAGCCTTTAAAAATGAGCCAATTAGCTAATAAAAAGCGGCGATGCGGAAACTTTCCCCTTTGCGGTTCTTGCAGAAGAGACTCTCTTGCAGCAGTTGAAAATGTGCAGCAACTTGACCCTGCCCGGAGTTGGTTCGCTCTGGGGGGAGAGGTGGCGGCGGGGGGGAAGGTCAGAGAGGGAGGAATAGAACATGATTTGCAATCCAGGAAGCAATCCGATGTTGTGGAGACGCACAGAAGATTCTCTCCAGCAAGAGCCGTAGATCACGCGAGAAATATGAAGCTATTGTCACGTATTAATAGTCGGGTGTTACAAAATCATTTATCTCTTCAGGATGTGAACTGAGAACAGAGACTTTCTGCTGTTCGTTCCAAACATCTTTGGTAGAATCTATCAGACAGTGAATTCTTTACATTCGAGCGGGTAAATATGGTGACTTTATTCCTTCATTTTGTTTTAAAATGTTCTGCCCTTAAAGCGCGTACAGCGTATTCTGAAGTTCCAAGCCTTTCTGTAACAATATCCGGGATGACTGCTGGAAGCATATGTTGGTATCTTACACCCCTTTGGTCCTCAGTAAGTATTAGCGGAATGAATCAATCAGACAAATACATTTATCCAGAAGAGACTAAGCATGCGCTAAAGTCAAAGATCTCATTAAATTGTATTTCATAAACGTTCCACTTTGACATCCTTCTCCCCTGAATAAAACTCAGAGCCCAAACGTACTTTTTTTTTTTTTTTTAAAGATTTTATTTATTTATTTGACAGAGAGAGACACAGCAAGAGAGGGAACACAAGCAGGGGGAGCAGGAGAGGGAGAAGCAGGCTTCCCGCAGAGCAGGGAGCCCGATGCGGGGCTCGGTGCGGGGCTCGGTGCCAGGACCCTGGGATCGTGACGTGAACTGAAGGCAGACGCTTAACGACTGAGCCACCCAGGAGCCCCCTACTTTAGTTATTTGAAAACAGTACTTCAAGTACTGTTCCTTGGATTCTAGCGAATGTGCTACCCTAAAAGCCTTTTAAAAAGCATTTCGGATTTTAACAGAAGAGCGCCCTCTGCTGCCAAATGGTTTATGGGCAACGAGCCTGAAAAGTAAAACGCTTGGGGTGTGCCATAGTATACAAGTCAGTTTATGCTTTAAAATCCATATTAGAACAAAAGATGGACTTGCTTCATAATCATTATTCTCTACATTAACAGGTACTAATGTAAGAAAAAGTGCCTGAATCATCGAAATACTTTTTCCAATAATGTTAGTATGAATCATCAAAGTTGATTTGAATACAGTCTACTTGCAATCATCTTACACCAGCCTTTCTCTTCTCAACTTGTTTCTCTTAATTAATTAGTGTTTCTAATTTCCCAAGTCAGGTATGGATGCATTTACAATCTCTGCCTTCTTGGTAATCATCTCTTCAATACAAAGACTGTCATTTTATTGTAGTATCTGTATATTTATTGCATTTGTACAGTATTTTCCCTAAAGTTTTTTTAATGTTACTTTTTTTTTTTTGCTAATTCATTTATTGGTTTCCTTGTTAATATGCCCAGATGAAAAAAGATTTTGAAAAGCCCCCAAGTAACTGTGTAAGTTGAAAACTGCACATCTCAGCTGCCACTTCCACTGGCTCTCATTTTTTAGAGGTGCTCATCTTGAGGAAAGAACTACAATCAGGGGTTAGCTGCTGGGACAGCTTTGAGTCAGTAGGAGGTAAGAGGCTAACTGGTAAACCACAAACGAAGAGCTAAGGGAGGTGTCTGTCTCCCGCTGTAAATGCTAATATGGGCATTTCAGCTGTGTTCTTTACAATAAGCACTTTACCACCCTTTATAGAAGCATACAGATAATGATCACGGATTATCCTGTGGTTCTCAATTCTCTCTCAGCTGCAGAGGCAGAAATGGAAATAGAGTTTATTATTATGCTGAAAAAATGTATTTAGAAGAAGCTCAAGTACTCTCCAGGGCTGGAGAGAGACTCTGTATTTGTGTAAGCAAGACAGACAATCCAGAACTCTTAACAGGATTGCCAAGCACTCCGGCTTCTGGGTGAACTGGGCTCCCTTTTCCCAGCTAATGGTGCAGGAACCGTATTTTTTTCACACGGGTGGCCCTGTGGTCACCACACCTCAAGCCAGCTCTAAAGGTAGAAAAGAGATGTGGGTGCCATGAGAATATTCCTGGCAATATGTTTGCCTTCTTCCCCATTTATTTAGTGATAATTACAAATTGTCCTCTTTATAAAAGTTCACATCTCTATCGTGCACACAGAGTTGGTAAAAATGTCAAGGCTTAAGGGCAGATTGGATACTGGACAAAAGATTTATGAACCGGCCCAGCTTCACTGCAGTTAGGTCAGCACACCCCTGAGATTCTGGGGTGATTAATGAATTAATTTGCAGTGGAGTGCAGTGCTGGCCTCTCTGGTCCATGGACTGAAGGATGGTCTCTAAATTGTATTCCCGCTGCCCTTGCTCACTGACAGGGAGATCATCTGACCATATGACATGAGTGTGGGAGTATGTGCCTTAACTATTGAGGAAAGTGTGAAGTACATGTTTATTAAGTTTGGGTTGTCTTTCCATATTGACATATGACTCGAGTTTCATATATGTTGTCTCTTAGGAGCCCATAAATTCTGGTTAAAGTCAAAATAACTTTTGTTTTTATAAAAATGAATTTACAATAAAATCCACTTGACTTTTATGATTTATAGTTACTCTTTCAAAATTATGCTTCCTCATTCAAACACAACTTCCTTTATGTAATTTTGCTCTGTATGTCAGATGGCCTGAAGAATACTATTAGTAGGATCACCATTTAATGAGAACTTAGTGTCTACCAGGGACTATACCCAGGTTTCTTGCAATCCTTATCTTAAAAGGGTAGCACTGTTTCTGTTTGCATTTTACAGTGAGATAACTGATCTTTAGGGAGGTTACATAACTTGCTCAAAGTTAGTGTCAGAGCTGGCCTTCAAACTGAAGCCCATCTACTCCAGGTCAAACCCTCAGAGAATACTGCAAATATATAAAATTAAAAATAAAAGTTATAGGCCCAATACTAACCACTTTTTATAGTATGATAGAGCAGTATTTCCCGAATTATGTATCAGAGAAGGTTAGTTCCATATGACATGTATGAATGACATAAAGAAAAAAGAAAGTTTCCACGATCCAGTAAGTTTTGGAAGTAACGGTTTGAACAGTAGAACTGTACAACGTTCGTGAGAGCCATTCATATTGTAGTCATCGTGGATTTATATAGTTGTTACAAGATTTTTCCAGGAGATGGCAAAAATGTGTCCTGAATAGGGGAATGTTCTGTTCTGCACAATGGTGCCGTTTGGACTCTCACTGGGGCCAGAGGCTGGAATAGCATGAAATGCCTGACACCTGGATACGGCCCCATTTTTTATGTATTGCCAACATCATCACTTTCTGGTGTTTTTTTTACGGTGATAGATTATTTGTATCAGATAGACTTTAAAAAGAGCTAATTATTTTTAGGGTTTTAAATGCCTCATGCTATTACTTATTACATCTAGAAGATATGTTTGGAACACTAAAAGATTTTCTTGCCAGTAAGAGACTTCACAGTGTGTTATAAGAACACTGGAATGATGAAGTGTAAAATTATTTTCAAAATCAGCTAAGAACAGGTAGTTGGTTCAAGTGAAAATAATTGAAATTTGTAATGAATGTGCTAATACATGTGCATAAAATCCATTTGTTTAAACTTCTTGAAGGGAGAGGCTATTTTTGTTTCCTTATCCTTGCCAAATGCCTAGCCCATAGGAGGCGTTCATAAATGTATTAAATGTTTACTGAGTATTTTCTTTGTACCAGGCATGGTTCTGTCGTGGATACTAGAGATAAGAGTGAAAAAGTGGGTTTTTGTCCTCAGGGAGCTTACATTTTATTGGAGAGAAATACACAATAAGTGGAGAGGGGGAAGTGAAGTCATGCAGTGGGTACTACACAGTGGAAAAGTTGTAGGGCCAAGGGATCAAAGTTTTCAGTGAGGCCAAAGAATTTTTGAAATTCTTTGTCTAAGTAAAGGCACTAGGAAGGATAACTTTTTGGGAGGTGGTATAGTGACTGATAACTGAGGTGAAGTTACTTTAGAAGTAAGAGGATTAGTGGAAGATGAAAGGTTTCCTGGAGAGGAGGCCTGAGCAGGCTTGATGTTGAATGGGACAGCACCTGGGTGTTGCAGTCGTTGGGAACGGTGACAGGAGCAGAGTGGACAGGAAGATGGTGAGCTCTACGCCTCAGTCTCCTGGGAAGCAACTTAAGAGATCGTTGATGACAGCATGGGGAGGGGTAGGCACTCGTTACATTGCATGGGATGACTTCATAAAAGCTGGAGTTTTTCAGGAACAAAAGAAGAGAAATGACTTGAAAAGGGCAATTTATATAAATTCAGGTCAAAGGTAAAGAAGGTGAGGGAACAGTCTGGCAGACACGTTCCTAGGTGCAGCCAGATTCCACTTCCGCCACGACTGATTGAAACACGTATTTGTTGAATGAATAAAATCTAAATCTTCACAGAGACTGAATGATTTTGGATAGTTTTTAACTTAGCCTTTTAAGAGAATTTATGTTTAAACTAATGCATATTCCAATTCTCCTTGTTCCTATTTTCATTCGTGTTTCAACATACTCCTAAGGATAAAAGTTGGAAATAGAAGAGAGATTTCTGAATTTAAAAGTATATGTTGAGAGGGCAACTATCATTTTTTACTTCATGCACTTCAGAATTTTAAAGTTTATTACAAGTATCTAGTCCTTTTATAATAACATGAAGGTGAAAACAAAGTATGTTTCTTTACCATAAATATCTGAAAATCAGGCCATCAAAAATTAAAATGGATATCTTGAACAACTTCCCTTTCATTCCTGAGCTAGGATAATTTCAGAAAAGAAAAGTCATCAATATGTTTTTGTAGATTGTTCTGCCATCTCCATTCCCCTACCCAAACAGGAATTGTGGTTGGATTTTTTCCAAACAACTGAGTAGCTACTCCTTTCTCTTTGTGGAACAAGGAGCTCTAAAGACTTTTCATATCATATGCAGGTTCTAGTGGATGTTTACCCATGTTAAGGAAGTGCATAGAGGGGTTCTGAGGAGAAAAAACTGTTCTCTCCGCTTCCTATTTTCCAAGTAATTGAGTCACTTGTGTATTGTGCCAGTGAGCTCTACCAAATCTTTTTATTTGTTTTGTTTTTCCAGCTTTATTGAGACATAACTGACAAATAAAAATTGTACATAAATAAGATGTACAGTGTGATATTTTGATATGTGTGTGTGTGTGTGTTGCGAAATGATTGCCACATTAAGGTGAGTTAACACATCCATCATCTCACATAGTTGTCATTTGTGTACGTATGTGCTGAGAACATTAAAAACCTATTGTCCTAGCAATTTTCAAGTACATGATACAATATTGTTCACCATAGTCACCATGCTATATGATAGATCCCCAGAACTTAATCTTTTAAAAAATCTTGTGTAAAAATAGAACTACCATATGATCCAGCAATTCTACTCCTGGGTGAATGAAATGAAATCACTATCTTTAAGAGTTATCTGTACCCTTGGGGCACCTGGGTGGCTCAGTCGGTAAAGCATCTGCCTTCAGGCTCGGGTCATGATCCTGGAGTCCAGGGATCAAGCCTCATGTGGCTCCCTGCTCAGCAAGGAGCCTGCTTCTGCCCCTCCTCCTGCTCCTTCTCTCTCGTGCTCTCTCTCTCTAATAAATAAAATCTAAAAAAAAAAGAGTTATCTGAACCCTCATGTTTATTACAGCATTATTCGTAATAGCCAAAACATGGAAACAACTTAAGTGTCTGACAATGAATGATGGATAAAGAAAATATGGTGTATATATACGGTGGAATATTATTCAGCCATAAAAAGAAGGTTGCCATTTGTGACAATATGAATGAACCTTGAGAGCATTATGCTAAGTGAAATAAGTCAGGGAAAGACAACTACTGCATGATCTATGAAATCTTTGGGTAAATAATTCGATAATACTTTAGGGTGAATATTGCCTCCTTTTGGGTTATACTTTATCAACAATAGGTAAAAACATGCTTATTTAATAAAAATAATAACAAAAATGAGCATATACTATGTGTAAGGCATTATGCTAAGCACTCACCTTAGAATATCTCATTTGATCCTTGTAACAACTCACTGAGGTAGGTGCTATTGTTGTTTACTTGACAGATGAAGAAACTTAGACACAGGGAGAATAAGCAGTCTGTATAGTG